TACATGATTTTCCGAAGTTCTACTAGTTTTCTTCAGATTGAAAGATTCATTTCATTTTGGACAAACATTCAGAGACAAAATTTGGGCAGCTTATCTTATCGGGAAGCTCGATAGACCTGCATTAATGAAGAACGTACGCGTGTGCTTTGTCGTTTTTCAGAACCTCGTGTGCTGCGCTAGCGACGTGCTGGAAGGAGGTCGAGGAGTGGTGCGCGTGGCTGTCACGGTCTCGGAGTTGCTCAGGTTCCATCAGTCACGATCCCCGTTGCAGACCACGTCGTCGTCGAACGTGCCGAATCACGTGTCTGCTTAGCGCCAGACTATATAAAGCCCGTGTTGAAAGAAACGAAAAAGAAAACAGAAATCTTCGATCACGGAGGAAACGGACTCGCGGCCAAGTTTTTCCACGTATTTGAACACTAAGGAAGGATCGATTGGATCTAGTAGCAAGCGTGTTGCCGCGATTTTATACTCGCGACACGCGAGCCAATAGCGCGTACAAAAACCGAGAAAAGACACCACGCTTCCTGGTCCAGTTTCTCGGTGGAACAATAATGCCATAGGGGATCGATTATAAGAATCTCTAGACTTTTATACTCGTATTACGCGTCAGGTAATCGCTTTTCAGCGATCTTCTTCAAAATCAAAAGAAAAGAGAAAAAGAAACAAAAAAAAAAAAAAAAAATACAGCGTCGCGGCTATTCGACTGTTCGCAACGTTAGACTGCGATCAATCATGACACTCGACTATAGTTGTACGAAAACTTTTATATCGAAAAGACAAAACGTAACTTTGTACGAGAAGAAGAAACGTAGCAGAAAAAATTAGGACGTAAAAGTCGTAGCCGAGTTTCGCAAGAGAAAAACCTAAAAAACCGCGAATGCAACAGTCATTATATAGAGTTAGTAAATATCGGAGACGCTTTCTTCGGGCTCGATTTCACGATGAAAAAAGTTCTTACGCAAAGCATGCGCTTGATAGTTATATCGCACGTAAAATATTATCTCGATCGAGACGATCGTTTTCAACGATCATACCGGAAAGAAGTCGTTGTCCTACGAACTTTTTTCATTGTTGCACCGTTCAGGTTCAATCCCAATGAAATGTCTCCTATATCTATTAACGAAGCTTATATATCCGTGCTTTCTAAATAGCGTGTTTATCACCGAGGCATTTTGATATCGTGGAACAATGATCGATCTAGATCAACGTTCGTTCAAAATGAGTGGAGATCGAAATGAATCTATCGAAATTTTATCTTTTAATTCAGCAATAGGTAACTCGTGAATCGAGCGTATATACATGCAATAATAAGTTCGAGCAGCTTAGAACGTTGTGAAAGAAAGAGTAATTGAAAAGAATCGCTTATTTTTACTCTCTCGATTTTGGAACTCACGATCGCTTAATAACAAGACACAACTTTCAAGTTGATCCAACAATAAGTTTTTTACTAGAAGATACAAGGGATCGAAAAAAATCTATGAAGTGACTTGCCTTTGTAAATGATTATTGATCGTTTTTTGGAGGATCCAGGCTTATTTAACTTTTATAGTTCATTTGCTTTCTTCAAAAACGTGGTTGTCTTTTCAATAGTACCATTATTAGAACTATGAATTTCTTATCTAGAGTCAGAGCGGTTCCAGCTAATGGAATCGACGAATCCCTAGAAATCTGTTATTTTTCATTAAAGTAATATCTAAATAAATTCATCGTAAGATCACCAATCATCTCAAAATTCAAATTGTAGACAACGAGACTTATCTTGAAATCGTGAAATGGACAAGTCTGTTATATAGAAAAGAAGGCGAACGCTTTCATGAAAAAGCTACGAGTTTCAATCTCCAAAATCGAAAGATCAAAAAACAGACGAAAAAACGCCTCGTTTTTCGGTCATTCTTTGCACGGATCAGCTCGATTCAAGGGGTTCGTTCAGTTCTCATTCGTCGAGCGATATTCGGTTCGTTTGTTCTGCGATACTTTACGAACGATTTCGTTTGTCATTTCAAACAAGATACAAGAAAGCTGCATTTTTCGTCACCTTTTAGTCACAAAACCATGCGTAAGCAATCTGCTGCGGATCAAGTAGATTTCTGCAGGAGTGGTAAGTTAGCTAGGAAGTTTTCAATGCCATCGACGATCGATAACGATCGTTCAAACAGGTCGTTGGTATATCAAATATTCGTACGTTTATATAAAATTAAGGCCTAGGTGTTCACTACAACGTGTAACATATAAACGTTGCAATTTTCTTTCTACGACGAGACTATTTCTTTGACTATTTTTTTCTTCTTTTTTTTTTCATATACACCTTCGACGCGTATTCGATATCGAGCTATTTTTGTCGTCGAATTCCGAGTACTGCCACAATTTGATAATTCGCGAAGCGATGAAACCCCGTTAGGTGCTAGGTTATAATATCGTTAGCTGTAATTTCCTATATCGTCGCAAGGTTTCGTTTAGAATTCCCCTACTATTTTTTTTTTTTTTTTTTTTTTTTTTAATTTTGTCTGATTTAGAAATGATCGTGTAAGAGGAGTACGAAGGATCTCATACGTCGTGATGGTGAGGAGTCGAACAGTTACGTCTCGGTGTCTTGTCGACGAGCGTCAACGATCACGAACCTCGTGTCGACGAGGCAATCTCGTGAAAGAATGTACCATGTATTCGTATTTATTGTGCCAAAGATATATACTTTGTATTAATTTTTCTCTCTATCCCTCGTCGGGGGCGCATCTTTGCAGGTAAGCGACGATGTTTTTGAAGTGGAGATTCGAAGTAACAACGCTGCGGAGTGTTCGAATAGACACGACGCACACTATATCTGTCTGATCGAACGTCCGTAAAAAATTACGTATTTCCGAATGGAATTTTTAAATCTTTAGAGGAGATTCGTTCTCGTCTTACGAAAGTTCATACGTTCGATCACAACTGCGTCACCGTACCCGAATCTCTTTTCTCCCTCTTTCTCTCACCCCTTTTTCATTTTATTCGTTCGACCACAGCACTTCTCTCGTTTGTAGGTATACGCGAATTCGTTGAGCGACGAGTGTCGCTGCGGAATTGTATCGTTCGCTCAAACGGTTTCTTCGAAAACGAACGCGCTGCTGAAGCGGACTGATCATCGCTTGGTACGTCTCGATCAATCGGCCATCGTTCATCAACAGTATTATCTCGATCAACCCACCGAGACAAGGCGCATACGTCTTCATATGTGTTTTACAAAAACTCTCGTTCTCCCTTCTTCTACAGTTGTGATTCTCACCAAGTCGGTCGATTCGTACCAAACGCTCGCCAGCAGACTCATACCTAAATACATCGCACGTAATATATTTAAAGATTAACGGATACAGTGTATAAAAAAAAAAAAAAATAAATCGACGAAAGTCTACGTATATATATGCAACCGTGGTCGTTCCTTCTCTCCCGACATGTATCTTCTTATGCTGATTTACGAGCCATGTTCGCTGGAAATGTAAACGCTTTGAATGCATTTACATCGAGGGGTCTGTCGGCCTGTAATTGCTTGCGATTTGTTAATTGTCTATTTACGAGTTTCAGCGTAGGGTTCAACGCTGTTTCTATTTGCAGATAAATTCACAAATAGTTTCATGCAGGGCAGATCCAATGCTATAGTCTCTGATGACCCTAATAAAGGACCTCGTTATCCACGGTCAATTTAAGCTTTTAAAACAGCTTTCTTAAAAAAAAAAAAGAGATCGATTTACTTACTCAAAGATTTCATACAGGTCGTTGGCCCAGACTTCAGACGACTACTTCATAAAAATGTTGCACTGGGTAAAAAATCCTACCTCGTTGCTTCGTCTAGAAAGTTTTGCTCCGAAAGCAGCGGGGTATCTTTCAAAGATATATATAGAAGAAGGAAAATTCCGATGTTTCTGCTTACGACGGAGAGACTCACTCAGCGAGCGAATGAAACTTGGCTCCTTTTAACAACACTTTCGATATCCGTTCGTCCTAACGACCAAGCGCTAATGCTCCGAAAGGAATTCGAGCGATTCCAAGAGAGGAGAGAGACGAGCTGGTGCGATTTGCAGGTTGTTCCAGACGGTAAGCCGACGTGAAACGACGTAGGTGTACCACGATAGGCGGAGTTGAAAGCTCGAGAAAACTCCATTTTGTTCGAAGAGGGCGGTCTCGGTGTTCCACGTTCCCCTCTACCAGAAGGTACCACCTTGGGACCACGATCGACCTCCTCGAGGTGGAGGGAACTCGAATGCGAACATTGCCGAACAGGAGTTCGCGACACGCGTGTGCTCGGTGTGCTGGCCGGTTGCTGCTTTCTCGGTTCGTCGCGTGGCTGCGTGCTACCGCACGCTCCTCACTCTCGCCTTGACAGTTCCTCCGTCAATTGTTAACTGTCAGCTGACCTTTGACAACTTTGTCTCTGAACAACTGAACTTCCCGTCGAGCTATCGCTGACTGCAGTACATTCTCTCTAGCAAGAGAACAGGTGATCGATTAACGCGCGACCATCGCGCACGAGACTACGTGACAAGTGACAAGTTTCGTTTGATCTTTCGACGATACATGTTTGCGAGAGTTGACCGAGTCGAGAGACTGAGATCGAATCGAGGAAACTGAGTGGACGAGCAGACAAATAGTGCACCGATCCTCCAACTTGAAAAACGAAGAGCGATCAATGAAGGACGAAGGATGATCGATGATCGCGTTATGCTGGTTTGCTTTGATCGGTTAGAATCACCACCGACGAGGACATTTTAAATAAACACAAGAAAAGTCGACGCGTCACTCGCGATTACAATTCGAGTTCCATCGTGCACAACGTAATTTGAACCGTAGATTTACGCTTCGGGTATATATATATTGGTCTAGAACGTGTGATCTCACTTTGTACCTCAGTTTGCGCGCCGCTATTAAAATCGAGTCGATCAACCGCGTGAGAATTTCGTTGAGATTCGCCATATAACATCGAGCCAAGAGAAATTAAACTCGAACCGTACAATTTCCCGACTGGATCGAATTAATAATAGATAATTAAAAGGAGAACCGATAGACGTACTTTCCCAAAGAGACGTTAAATTGCAGACATAAACAGAATCAGGGGAAATCGAGGGACAGGTACGAAATTTGCTGCAGATCGATCGGATAAGGAATTAGAATTTCATCGAAGGAGAGATAGAAGCACGCGTGTGCATTGCAACTCAAACTTCCAAGTGTCCAGCTTTTGCGTCAAATTCAAATGTTACTCCTACGAAAAAACCTGCATGCAATGACGAGCTTTCCACGGACGAAGATGAGCAAACTATACACGACTGAATGAACGCAGCTGATAAATCGAATAGGTGCAAATCGTAGGAAGTAGCGATCGTCCGCGTTGTGTACGATGTGGACCGACGAGAGGACAGTGAGATATCGGTGTATACTGTGAGAGGGACGTATCGTACGTGCCTTCTTTCCTTCACTTCGTTGTCGTTCGAACCACGTTGGCCAACGATGGACCTCAGCACGACTCCTAGAAGAATGACGGAGACTGTGGCTGACCTTCAGAAAACCCGGGTCGCCAAGAGCGTCTTCAGTATACGAAGCTTAGTCAACGTCGAGGAGGCAGAACTTCCGGTGGTCGAGGACACGGAAAAGCAAAGTAAGTTGTACACAACGATCCTTCTTCTTTCCATGTTCCACCAAAATTTTCGCTGTTCAATCATTTAGTATGATCTGTTCAGTGAACGAATCGAGTTGTGCTCATATTGTACATCTGCCACGCACTCTTAATTGTCTTTAGATTTACATAATATCCTCTTTATTATATAGTCTGTATGCAGCACTACGTTTCTTTTATTCGAGAGGTACCTTTCATACGAGGTACAAGGTAGACGAGTCATGTTATTCGACAAATTGATCTTATAATAAATTGTCTTCTAAATTGTCTTCTACAATTCATCATCAGTTGAATCGAATTATTAACGAATAATATATCGCACGAATAACAGATTTGTAAGAAGTTCCTCTATTTTGTTAGTCAAGAAACTCGAGTGAGAAGAGTGAATCATTCTAACGACACTATCTACTACTTAGAGAACAATTGAAACATGCTAATGGACTGCTAAAATTGAACAAACCTGGATTCTTCGAAAAATGATTGGCGTTCGTTCCCTGGACAGAACACGAGAACACACGACGCTCGATGTGTTCATTCGCGTATGAAATCAAGTCGTACTCGCGCGAATCTCGAGAACGATAAGCGAGTGGCTCGAGGGAATCGCCGTGCCGTTGATTCCATCGTTGGTTCGCGTAAACGACGAGTGCCAGAATTCCAGAAGCGATCGATAGACACCGGCTGGGGAGCCGATCGGAAAGAGATCGAGCAGACGAACGTTCTAGGAACCGCGAAGCCCGTCCGACATTCCACGACCGAGAAATGCTCGTTGAAGCGGACTTTTTGTTGGCGAGCGCCTTTTGTGCTCGCTGCCACGCCGGGAACAACCAGTCCTTGTACAGCAATCGAGTCAATTAAGGCTCACTTATACTCGGTAAATTGCGATAAGACGACGATTAAGTTGAAATTAGCTCCGTGCCCCCTCCCCTGGCCCTCGGCAAAAAGTGTATCAATGTCGTTATTGCCGACACGTATCGAAGGTAAATTAATACTCGTTCCCGACCGCTCCAATTAAACGTTACACGAAACGAGAGGTGGCTTTTCTTTGGTCCGGACGACGGATTCGAGCGGTCGCGTCTTCGATTGAAACGGAGATTTCGACGCGACGTTACGCGAGCGTCTCGCTCGGCACTGACGCTCTCTTTCACCTGCTTTCTTTCTCTTTCTCTCTCGATGGATCTTACGGAACGAACGGAAAATCGGTTGGCGGTTTAATTTCGCGGAACGGCGCGGAAATCGCGTTTGACGAGGATTCCAGCTAGGCCGAGTTCTGCTAGGTAAGCTGGTCGATATGCAAAATAGCCGGCGACCGCGATAACTCGCGTTACTTGACTTTCCTCTCTCGGAAAATAAATAGCAAATTACCATTTAACCGTTGGCGATAAACCGAAATGAGCTCGGCGCGATAACGGAATCTCATTCTGCCGGCACGCGGTATCGCTTCGTTATCGGGTAATTAACAAGATAGCGCGCCGATTAACAAATTATGAACGCGGGGTTCGTCCTCGAGATGGTTTTCCATCGCGCCCGTCCTTGCCGATCAATGATCGCCAAACGCAAACAGTTTTCCCTGAAACGATTTACGCTCAAGTGGAATTAAACACGCATCGATATACGCTGGGTACGCTTTCGTTCCCACTGTAATTGGCCTGTAATCGTTCAAATATTCGTCGTTATTATTAGGTCTTATATCGTATAGGCCATTTAGTAAAATAGACTTGCAGTTAATCGTCGCGCGATTAACAGCCCGTTAAGCACAAATATGGCGTAACAAATATAGGTCGTTTTCCTACCTCAATTTTCTTTTTTTTTTCTTTTTTTTTTTTTTGGAAACGTTTCGAGGGTATAGCGTGTGAGGGGCTATTTTGCACGCGTTGGCCGGAAATGGCGGCTGAATCGTTAATTTGCCGCCAACGAGACTCGACGAATGAGAGGATAGTTCACGGTCGATTGGCTTCGAGACAGGAGGGTGACTGTTCAACGAGGGTGGTTCTCCTCGGGCGAGGGCTCGAATTCGACCACCCTCGAGAAAGAAATGGCGGCCTTGCCATTCGCGAGGACGATGGTAACTTGGTAATTTGGTATCGTTGCGTTTTTAATTGTAGCAAGATGCTCGAATCTTTCTCGATTAAACGCATTGTAAAAATGTAAATTAGATGCACCTACGTTACGGGTGCAAGTACATCAGAAGTATAAATGGTTTAGGCCAAATTTAAATTCA